GGCCGCCATGGCCCAGCGGCCGTTGGTCTTCTCGGCCTCGGCGTACCTGCAGGTTGATTCAGGTGAGGTGATGAGACCCCCAACTCATTCAAGAACATCGGCATGCGGCTGCACAGCAGCGCCGCTCAATGACATCCCGTCTTGCTTGTGTGAGGCCGCCATGTGACAGCTGGCGGGTCTGCTTGACAGCGTGATGCGGTTTGCAGCTGCGCGTTGATCACGCAGATCAGCTGCGCGGATCCATGCTGCGCACCACTTGAGGCGCTGGGGGTCGGCGCCCAGGCCCAGGGGGTCGAAGCCGAAGTCGCCCGCAAGAGAGCCGTTCAGGTAGGCCGGGGGCGTGACATTGGGCAGCCACAGGGGCCGGCTGGCAGCGGCAACGCGCACGCTGCGGGCCTGCGCACATCACCGCGGCGGGCACAGGCAGGGGCGCGAGCAGGGCACAGGCTTCGTCAGCTACAACATCAACCATGGCTGGCAGTGGAGCATCCGTCATCCCTCTCCGCAGCAAAGCCGCTGCTGAGACCTCCGACCCCCGGATCAGCTGCAGCCATTCTTCGTGAGCCAGGCCCAGGCCGCAGATCTCCAATGCCCTGATGCTGCCAGATGGTTCGAAGGCCTATAAAGCTGGCGCCACGGCCAAACCAGCGACTCTCACCCTGCTGGCAGGAGCCCGAGCACGGAGGGGGGTCGCGCGGAGCTGCATCTCGTCGGGATTGTTTAAGAGGACTCAACTGGCTGTTGGGTAACACGGTGGCAGCTCGGATCCGCCTTATGACCTTGGGGAGCCGGAGGGGCGTCTCGACCATGAAGGCAGCTTCGCTTTCATGAGAAGACCTGTAGATGGCGCACTCTCATACATGGTTCCAATACAAGTTTTCAATGCTTCAACGTATGCACACCGTGCTTCTTTCTGGCAAGTCTGTCAGCACTGCCACAGTCCACCCCCGAGGGCCACGGGCAAGTGAGATGTGTGCAACACAGCGCCCACAGCATTACTTTGCTGACAGCTGCCATCAATCCTTTCGCCCTGTGGCAGCCCTTCATACTTGGCAAGCATGTGCACATGTCTCTTCCGCACTGCCGCAAGCAGTCCAAAACAAGCAGCTGCGTGCACTCAAAGATGACGTCAGGAGTTACAGGCCAGGTCGGCAGATGGGAACGCAAAGAGTCACATATAAATGTACAGGAAGCGGTTCATCGAGCACCAACCAAACACGCGCCATTCTGTTTGCACACCCAAGTGTGTGCGTTTGAACACACCAAAAGGCGTATCCAAATAAAAAGGTGCGACTGTGAACCTGGCTCAACATAACGAAATTGGTCCTATCGACGTATGATTCAAGATTGCAGCCAAGCACCGAGCCTTGGACTTGCTGCTGGAACGAAGCTGACACGAAATCCTGCAGGAGTGCGAACGCCTACAGCTTCCTTGAATACATCCCAAGAACAGCGCCTGAACATCAACAGCACTCAAAAAACGAAATGTGTTTGCCATGTGCCCACACACAGCGCTTGCCACACAGTCCAGCCCTCAAAATGCGCCGAGCTTTCATCAAATCAACACTGTAAGCCTGTAAGCCATGGCAGTGGCGGTGTTTGATGTCACCCCTCAGCTGCTCTGATCGCTGCTGCTGCTGCTGGTTGGGGTGCCCCCAGAGCTGGTCGCAGTGCTGCTAGGCATGCTCTCGCTGCTCGTCCCCTCGCTGCTGCTGCTGTCCTCGCTGCCCGGCGACGCCGCCCGCGCAGCCACCCGCCGCCGCGCCGCCCGCGCCGCCCCCCGGCTGCTGCCCTTGCGCAGCGACGCGCCGCGCCCGCGGCCGCGCCCGCCGGCCGGGCTGCTGCGCTCCTCCTCGCGGACATCCTCCGCGCCGCCTGCCTCCTTGAGCCACGCCGCGGCCGCCTCCAACCCGTCCCGCAGCTCGCCGGCCTTGCCGCCCGATGGGATGTCCGCGCGGCGCGTAGGGGGCTGGCCTGGCGGCGGGGCCACGCGGCCGCCGTCCTCCAGGACCGCCTGAGGTCACCGCGGGAGGGACGGGTGCGCATTCAGACTCATGGCCCGCGGCACCGCTGAGCAGAGGGAGATCGTGCAAGGGCAGCGCTGGAGGCTGATCCAGCGGTGCGACTGCGGTGCCCAGCCTCAGCGCTCTTCCCGCACCGGCTCGCCACAAACTCGCTAACCACCCGCGCCCCACTCCCCCTCGCCAACTACCCGCCTCAATCCTCTCCCACCCCATCATACGCTCCACATCAGCACATCACATCACGTTTTGCACCAAAACAAGCGCAGCCAAAGGGAAAAGAGGCCCGCCCTGATGGCCCAGTGGTCACCTGGCGGTACCTCAGGAGGGCGAGCTCCTTGGCCTTTGACTCGATCATCACATCGACGCGGCCCTCCTCGCCATACAGGTGGATGGGGCCGCGCACATAGTCTGGTAAGAGTAGGGTAAGGGGGCGTCATGGTATGAGGTTTTATCAGAGGGGTCAGGGCGGCTTCAAATCAAGGGCGCAAGGGGATCAGAGTACATGGTGAGGTTAACGCTGGAAATCATCGACAGGTCTCAAGTGCAGTCGTGAGAATTGAGCAGCAGCAAGAAGGCAGCCGACCACGCGTGACGCGCACCTGAGTGCGCGTTGCGCCTCATGGTGACGTCATCAGGCGACTCGCTCCAGTGCACCACGGGGCGCACACCCTGCGGGCGGCGCACATGTCGGCGCCACCAGAGGCGTTGCATGTGTTGGCCAGAATGCAGCGGCAAAGCCGGCGACAAGCTGGTTGTAACGAAAATGTTTTCAACACCAAGAATATAGCGCATCAACCAGCAGGCGGCACCCAGGCACAGGCGCGGCACCCTGAACCCCGACTGTGCGCACGCGCCTGCGGCCAGGTGGCAATGGCGGCCCGGAAGGCCTCCTCCTCAGTCCAACCCCCGTCGCAGAAGCCGTGGTGGTGGAAGTCGAAGACGATGGGGATGCCCGTCAGGCGGTGCACCAGCAGCAGGTCGCGCACACTGCACCCAGAGGGGCGGGGGAGGCCGGGCGCGACGCAGCCGATCAAGGCGGGAGCACCGGATGTGATTAGACGAGGTCAGGGTTGATGCGCAGGTCATCAACGGCGGGAGGTTGCCGGCCTTCGTGGCCGAGCAAAGGGCTTGAGGGTGACAGCAGGGCTGGCTACGGTAGTGGGGACTGAAGCCTGTCGGTGCGAAGGTCAAAAGTGATTGGCGGGGGTCCGACGCGGCCAGGACGCACCTGTAAAGGGACGCCCGGTCGTCATTCTCCACCGTGAGGCGCGCCTTGCAGTTGGGGGACAGCCGCGTGTTGACGACCTGGGGAGTGGGGTGAGGTCAGCGGCAGGCTGGTTGGGGAGCGTGGGGGGGACGAAGCGCCCTGGCGCACTGCTGCGACATATGGTGGGAGCACGTGGACCGTTTTCTGTACGGTGCCCAGCCCCTGCAAGGCCAGCTACAGCATATGCGGCCACTCAGCCCGCCCAATCCAGGCCAAAAATCACGTCTGAAAAGCGTCGCAGCGTCGCCTCCTTTTCGCCGCCGTACGTCCCGCCAACGTGTATATTGATCTGGGTGCGTGAGGGGGGCGAGGGGGAGCGAGCGGACGCAGCAAGCGGAGGGGGCGCGGGAAGGTTGAGACAGGGGAACATACTGCTGCGAGACGAAAAAGGGGGAAACCATGACAGCGTCCAGGTAGACAGGGGCGATGCGGATGGGGTCACGAGCGCCAGCAGGGTCCCGGTGCGGCTGCTGCGGGATGTGGTGGAGGGACAGCGCTTTCGCGCGCGCGAGCGCTCGCCTTGTTGTGCGGCGTGGCGGGCAGGAACCCCATCTCATCAAAGATCCTGCTGTGCACCTCCAGCTCTGCCACACTCTGAGTCACCCACCTGCGGGTGTTGAGAACAAAATGAAAAACTTGCGAAACATGCTGCGAGCGCAGCCGTGGGGTGCAACCCGGCCTTGATCGGTGAACGCCGGGGAAACGCCTTTGCTCCCAGCCCAGTCACACCCTGGCATGCATGGCCAAAAGCCGACGGTGCGACTTCCAGACTTCCAGGCGCTCTCCCACAAGCCTCCAACCGCCAAATGCCCTGCAACTCACTCTGCTCGGTCGGGGCCCGCGATTTTGCAAAACTCGCCTGCTCGGGGGGAAAGGCAGGTGGGTGAGCAACGCGGGGCTAACCGCACGCTGAGCAGCGTCAAGCACTTGCGTGCGCCGCAGCTGTCCTGGAGCAGTGCGGTCAGTTGCATAGCTGTGTGTGTGGACCACCCCACTTCGTCTTGTGCCAAGTGCCACGAGAGCGCTCACTGGGGTGGTACGTGAGGCGGTGCCCAAACCGCCGCGCAAGTGCGCCAGCCTCCTGCAGGGCCTGGGCTTGCAAGGCGGTCAAACACACACACCAGTCAAGACAAAAGTGAGTGAGAGCATTGAAACGATGGGTGTCGGGCGCTTCCAGATTGAGTGGCCAAGAAGCGGCCCAGCAAGTGGGTGAAACAGCAAGATGCTGAACCACCTTGAGCTCCTGAGCTCCTCACAACCCGCGTCAGAAGGGTCTCAGCAACAAACACGCGTAACACCCCTGGCCATTCACGTGCATTTGCAGATGCCAGGCCGCCCACCTTCTGGATCTCTGCCCAGTCCTCCAAGTCCTCCATCTTGTAGAATCTGAAGGCGATCAGTCGGTGAGTGGCGGGGATCCATCAGCGATTGGCTGCCGCAGGAGTGGAGCGGTGTGCCTCGTCAACACACACAAAGGCGGCTGCAATGCCAGCGGCAGCGTGTGGGAAGTCGCCGCGCGGTAGATTATGCAGATCCCCCACAAGCCACCCCATCGTCCCCCCGCCCCACAACCCATACAGTCTGGAACCCATCCCCCCCGCCTGCTCACGTCATCCACGGGAGGATGGTGGAGGACACCCGGAAGAGGCGGATGCCGTGGCTCTCGTTCCACCTGGGGACAGCCAAAACACAATGGCAGCACAATAGGAACGCATTGTCAGGACATTAGTGTCGAATTGCAGGGCGCCAGGGGTCCACCGCGCAAGCAGACGAAATCATGCGAGCGAGGTTACTGCACCGCAGGCGATGGCGGGCGGCGGGCGCGGTGCGGCGGCAGGGACCATAGGGGGTTGTGAAAGTCGTGGGGGCGCACGCGCCTGATGATGGGCGCGAGGTCGCGCGCGTTGGCGAGTGCCGCACGGCTGACGGCCGCCAGGCCCCCCTCGCCCTTGAAGGTGCGCTGCACGAGGTTGCGAGAGTTGAAGACATCGTACTGCCTGCGGGGGCAGGGGCCCGTGGAGATCGGGTGCCGGGGGCGAGTGTGCATGCATGAATGGGTGGCGCGACAGCTCTCAACTGGCCAACCAGTCTACGCACGCAGCTGGGCAGCTGCATGGATGCAGGCGCGGAACATGCGCGCGCACTGGGAGGCGAATCCGTAACACCTCTCGGGGCGATAGCCCCTGCACATGCGAGGGCGATCGCCGCATGCTGCAGTAATACGTGTGAGTGCGCACGTACCACAGGCGCACCTGAGGGTCATGTTGAGGCACGCATAGCCCAAGTTGGGCAAAACCAGCAGCTCCCGCCCTGCTGCCCCGCCGCCGCCCACGCCCTCGCCCGCGCCCTCAGCCTTCACCTCGACCTCAACTTGCCCCCCGCCGCCGCGGCGGTGCAGGTGCAGCGCCAGCCGCTGCCCGCGCCCCGCGGGCCCGGAGGCGGCCCGCTCGATGGCCGCCAGGGCGCGCGCCTGGTCGCGCCCGGCGGCGTCAAGGTCAAAAGGCAGTCGCGCCGCGGCCTCCGCCGCCTCCGCCGCGCCCGGCGCCGCCGCGCCCGCGGCGTCGCTGCACCCGTGCTCGTCCTCGTGCGCCGCCTGCGCCGCAGCCAGCGCCGCGCCGCGGCCGGCGTCTGCGCCCCGCGCCGGCTTGCTGCCTAGCTTATCCTCCCCACCTGGGATCCCGTCCCCGCCCTCCTGTCGCCCCTCGCTCCCGTGCTCTTCATGCTGTGGGGCGCCGCAGAAGAAAGCAGATATGTGGGAGTAGGCGGCCAGCAGCGACACGTCTCCTAGGAAGAGCCCGTGCCTCGCCTCTGACGCCACGCGCTCCGCGATCTGCTTTTTCGTGGGCTTCCGCGCCTTCTTGGGCGGCGGGGCCGCGGCGCCCCCGCCCTCGCCCGCGTCCCGTGAAGGGGAGGGCGGGGGCGTGCGCGGCCGCTCGCCGTTGCGACATGCGGCGGATGGTGCGGCGGCCGCAGGGCGCTTGCGGCGGGCGGAGGCGGGGACCGCCGGGGCGGCGACGGCCGCCGCGGCGGCGGGAGCGGGGCCGGCGGCGGCGGCGGCGCATTTGCCGCGCCGAGGGGCGGGCTGTCGGCCCTGGTCGCCAGCGGGCGCTGCTGCGACGTCAAACGGCGCGGGCGGGTCCGAGGACGCGGGGCGTGCCTTGCGCTGGGGCCCCCGGCGCGTCGGCGCAACGGAGATTGTTGAGAACACCGCGTCAGGCGTGCCTTGGACCGGCCGGCTAGGAAGAGACGCAGCGAGCCGCGTGCTGCGGCTGCTGGGCTCGCGCATCCCTGCTCCAGCTGCGGCAGGAGAGCAGCCGGTGATGGCGCTCGTGACCCGAGCGCAAGCAATGGCCCGTTTCAGGGCGCAGATAGGCCCGCGGATAATTTTGCCGACGCCTACGGATAGATGGCGGGGCTGCACACGAAGTGAGGTCACAGGTACCGTGTAGAGATCGCTACATCAACTACTATATTTTTGACATCCTAGATAGCTCGTATATGAAAGCAAACGTGTTTTGCAGGCAGTTCCGCACTCGTGTCTGCTGATTCTGAGCATTTACCGCCTGACTCACCCGCCGGCCACTCGTTTGCAGCTTACCTTGTTGTGTGACCCATCCATGCTCATGGGCATCCACTCGGTGAGCACGGCACATTTCCTGCAGGTCAGGGACTTTCAGCTTCAGTAAGGAGCTGTGTTGGCTGCTGGGTATGCCTGGGGAGCATTACTGGCTCCTTGACCGACAAACGCTGATACTCAGATACCCTCAAGAAGCCTCTGCGTGGGCACTCACACTCACAGCTCACTGTGTGTGCCGTGGTGAGACCTTGGCTTGCCTTCTGCTTGCTGCGCAACACTTTAATTGGATGCGTCACATGTTCCGATTTGCCAGACTTACGCATGGTGCTCTCTGCAAGGAACCCATTGTGCTCTTAGTGACACATGCCGCCAGCAGTAAACATCCGCAGCGTCACTTCCCGTGCCAGCTGACGCTCTGGGCGAGGTGCTGCAATTGTTGTTTATTGGAGCTACGTACCGCGAGGCCCTGGCCTTTGGGCAAGATCCAAGCTGGCTGGGCAAGATCCAAGCGCAGAGGGCCTCGCGTGGGGGTGCTTTCAGCACCCGCGCATACCTGGCAAGACGCCCCCCATGGGTGCCTATCCATCATTCAATGATGACATAAAGTTGACAACAGGTTGTCACAAGCCTCCAGGATTCCACCCATGCTTGCATCCAGTATGCAGCTGTAGAAGTCGCATAATCCTGAAGGCATACTGCAACGTTGTGATGCGCCGCCGTCAGCGCATGTGATTGCATGTGTACCCCTTGCCTTGTACTGTGATGTGTGGTATGGTTTGGCTAGGTGACAGCTGGCAGCCTACCCTTGTTAGGACAGCAAAGATGTTTGTGTTGCATACTTCATTCTGCGTGTTACACTGCGTGAGCACAATATTGTCATTGGTTGCACTGCAACACAGAATGGTACTGACCAGGTGTGGCAGCTCACAGATGGTTGTACAGGTTGTGTTACAATTTGTGAAAAACACTCACTGGTGCTGGAGCTATGTATCACTACATGCTAACAGGCCTCCAGTTGCGTAAACACACAACTCGCCGGTGTGCTACACGTAAGTTCTTGTTTGCAAACAGTGCCGCAGCCGGGGTACTTGTTTACAGGTTGGCGACCAGGCGAGTGCGCGTCACGACGGGGATGGCCTGGGCAAGTGGACATTGGGTTGGCGACGGTTGTCAGATGAATGTCAATTACAATGTAATTGATGCGCAAGGCTACATGCCATATGCTTCATTGTGAAGGCACACATAATTGTGTCAAATTTCCCTTCGCACCTTGTAGGAAGCCTGGTCAGCCTCCCAGGCCTGAAAGATGTTGGGGGGCAAGGCATTTTCCGTTGCGTTGGATGACAGCGAAACTGTCAGGACAGTTTCACACTCGCGCCGGCGTACATGTGGAGCGTACTACTGTATGGCTGCCCATACAACTTGTTGCTTCGATTGCAATACCTCTCTCTTGCACAACCCTTTCACACCCACCTTGAAGGCTGTAGGTGTAGGTGGCGACACATCAAAGGACATGCAACAATAGCAAGAGAGAGAGGGGCGCGCTCAGTTGCAGAGTATTATGGAACTCGCCACACTCAGTCTCACTGAATTGCCTTGCCCTGCCTGGCATACATTTTACTGTTCCACCCTGTTCTAGCAGTGTCCCTTGAGACTGTTTGGCGGCAATACCCACTCTTGTAGGAAGCGGCGTTGGCCCTGAGGGAGGAGGAGAGGAGAAGAAAATTGCATGGTTTTGAAATGTTCGTGGCGAAAAAGGCTTACTTCACTGCCTGACGTACAGCAGTTACGCCATCCCGCCATTGCACTCCCGCCGTGCGTTGGGAGGCAGGAGACAGAGCCACCCAGTCGCTCACCAGTCGGTGTAGCCGCCCAGGTCGGCCCAGGTGGCATCCTTCTTGGCCTGGAACAGGAGGGCGTCGTCCTGAGCACCCACCCTGAGTGATGGAGGAGATGGGCAGGGGAGGAGGGGTACGCAAGACTCAGAACACGACCCAAGGGGCAGGGCACGGGGCGGGGGTCGGCAGTCTCCCAAAAGCACACTTGCAGCCCAAGACAATGCGCAGATGCCAGGCGGCACAGGCGGCACGTGTGCCCAGCGTGCAGTGTGGCAGGGTAGAGGGCACTCACCAGTAGCCAGTGACGAGGGCCTTGGGGTTCTGGGGACCGCCAGATTGGGGTGATTGGGGGAGGACAGCAGGTAAGCAGGCGAGTGTGTCAGCTGGGGGTTATGGTATGATGGTATGCTCACATGCCGCAACCCCCACTCAAAGCCCACCAGCGTGCTAGTCCAAGTCCAGCACCTCAATCTCCCCCTGCCATTGCAGCTGCTTCATCAAGCAGAGATACTGCATTTGTGTCACCCTGCTCGGTAAGTCTCAGGCCACACCTTCGCGTTCCACTCCTTGTAGAGGGCAGCGCGGGTAGCCGCACCGGTCTTGCCCGCGGGGATTCCGCCCTTCAGGCTCCACAGGAACAGCTGGCGGATGGCCCCATCCTTGGCGGGCTGGGCGCCTGCAGAGGGGCGGAGGGTGGGGG